ATTTCTCTCTGACAGAGCTGCTGGAGGCTGCAGTGCCATTGGGCCAGACTGGAGAGGAGCCTTCACATCTGCAGCAGATGTTTGGGGGCCTGGCTGCCCCGGGGGGCTGCTCTGGGTGGGTGGGAGCAGCTGGGGCTGGGTTCTGCTGAGAACTGGGCACCCCCAGGCAGCGTGGGCAAAGCCTCTGGCTGCCCCTGCACGGCTTGCAGGGGTTTTGTCTCCTCTGCTTCTCTCTGGGTTTTTTTTTTTTTTATTTTAAGTAACGTATGAATAATCAAGATTTGCATGTTTATCAGATGAGCTAAAAAAATATTTCTCACAGTCTCGCTGTGGAGATTTCTGACACTAAAACCAGAATTTGGGCTGAGTTGAGCAGAGAAGGAGCCTGTCATGGGTGGTTTCTGACTGCTGTGTTTTTGGGGTGTACGTGCTCTGCTGCACTGATGAGGGATGTGGGGCTCCTCATGTGATGAAGCTGCAGTTTTTATTAACATAATAAAGCTGGTAAGAAAGCTGAAATGGTTAAAAGTGGCAATTATTAACCCCAGTATCAGACAGGATAAGCCTTGCAGGTGGTTGAGCAGTGCCCTTCCCCACGTGCTGGGTCCCAGGGCAGCTGGGGGCCACAGAATTGGGGCTCACAGAGGAAGGAGAGGACAAATCTCAGGCACAGACAGGGTAGAGGGTGGGGAACATTTTGATTAAAAATTATTTCAATTTCTGTCTCTTTCTGCTGCCTTCTGCACTTGTTCCTGTGGCCCAGAGAGCAGGAGCAATCCCCAGCCCTGCTCCTTCCAGCCTGAACCAGGCTGGGATTCTGTGATTAAACCAATTTGTTTTAATGCCAAATAAGCTGAAGTGAAGCAAGGTGCCTGTGATGCTGCTGGTGGCTGTGCCAGGGCTGCTGCTGGAGTGGAGCTGGTGGCAGAAAATTGCCATTTTTGTTAGTGGAGCTGCAATATCATCCCTGTCTCCTCCTTCTTTTGTATTGTACTTTCTCACCCAGGAGTCAACGCTGTGGAGGTGCAGAGCAGGGGGGATTTCACTCTGATTATATTTCAGGCATTTAGGGAATTATTTTTCACTCATGGCCATGATTTGACACCTGAGCTTTGCTTTGTTCTTGTGGCAGCGAGTCCAGGTTGCCCAGCACGGGTGATGCCCCTCTGTGGGTTGGCATCAGTGCCCCACACATCCCCTGCCCCATGCAGCCACTCCTTGTGCCAGGGTCCTGCCCACGGAGGAGGCTGCAGCTGAGCTGTGTGTACGTGTATTTAGCAGAGTTAATTATCTCTAATCAATCAAGCTGTGGCCTGGCCAACACAGCCTGGTTCCCTTTGGTTTTGCTGTGGTGGTGTTTTCTAGTTTACGTGTTTTAACCGAGATGACAGTGATTGTTATCTCCCTGCACAAATTGTTTGCTGCTTATCAGGGTGATGGTTTCCATGGGTTCTGCAGGGCAGCTGCTAATGGGGATCCAGCAAAACTGGATCCCCATCCTCCACAGGGCCTGGCACGTTCCAGAGGGCTCGCTGCTCACCCAGGGATTGCTGGCAAAGGAGAAGAAGAAAAAATTCTTCCAGGTCTTCTGCCTGAAAATACAAGCAGGGTTTGTTTTGCTCGGGGCTGCCCTGCAGGAGCTGCTCCCATGGCCTCAGTGCCCAGCAGCTCCAGGACCCCACCAGGGCACCTGTGCAGGGCCAGGGGTGGCAGCTCCCCCAGGAATTTGCTTTTTCCTTGCCTTGTTTTGCTGGTTTCCCCCAAGGTGCAGGAGGCTGACGCCTCTTGGCACAGCAGCTCTGATTTCATCCCCGTGGCAGCTGTTTATGCTGCTGTCTGCTAACTATTCATTTGCTTGATTTATGTATTGCTTCCAGTAAGTCATTCTTGTCCAGGATGTTCTGGAAATTTCCACTAGCCACGGAGGCCTCTGAGATGCTCCACTCTCATGTGCTGCTGGCCCCGTTTGGCTGCCAGAAGCAGACAGGAGCTGTCTCGGAGCTGCTGTGGCTGTGCCAGGCCATCATCCTCCTTGCTGCCTTTGGGAATGCCAGCTCTATGCCCAGTGCCTGTTTCTGCTCCTTTTGGATCATGGCAGTGCTGGATGCAGGCAGAGCCCCGGAGTGAAGTGACCCAAAGGGTCTGGGGGCTCCTGTGGGTAATGAAAGGGCTGGGGCATGGAAGGAGAACTCCCTGCAGGCACATGTGGGAGAATCCTGCCTGGGCCTTGGCTGTCCTGGGTCAGGTTCATGCTCTGCTCTTTTACCCTTTCTCCTTTTTCCCCAGTTGCAATGAGTTTAAGGTCCTTCCAAGCCAACCCATTCTGTTGTTCCATGATTCTGTGCTTTGTGCTCTGGAGCTGGAGGTACCAGAGCCTTGTGGGGAGCAGCAGCACCTTTGGTTTCCCCTTGGCTCTCCTGTCCCTCAGGTGTTTTGGTGGAGGGGCTGCTGATGCTTCCACAGCCCTGCAGCTCTCTGTGCCTGCCCTTGCCAGCTCTGCCTCCCTCTCACTCCTCTGCTTTTGTTTTTAATATGAGATTCTGCAGAATTACAAACCATCACAAAAAGCCCTGTAGGTGTTCACTGGGTTTTTTGGGCTTGGCTTCCTGTAATGTGTAAATTAGCAAAAGGTTTTGTTCTGCTTCTGCAAATGAACTTTTAACCCCTCTGTCTGGATTGTCCCTGGAGCAGCTGTGTGGGTGCTGGTAGCTTTTCCTTCCATGCTTCTCTAAAAGGTCCTTGTATTTATTTCATGCAGGCTCTCCAGTTTTTAGCTGGAGGGGAATGTGCCCCAGACGTGCAGTCTCTCCTTAGGTTCTTTTGCACCCACATCCTGCACAGGACCCGAGTTTGGAGATGGATAATGGGGGTTTTGGGCTAAAGCTGGCATCACCAAGCTGGCATGATGATTTAGCAGCAAAGCACCTGCTGTGTTTGCTGAGGAGTTTCTGTGGTTGAACATCTCTGCCAAGCTCCTGCTGGATGTCCAGGAGCAGCACCAGGCATTTTGCATTCCTCAAATGTGAATTTTTGTGGGCTTGTGTCTGAACTTGGTGTTGTTGGGTAGAGGTTGTTGATAGCTCATAATTGTCTGGATTCTTTTTAATTCTTTATCACAGTGAAACTGAAACTGGGTATGGAAAGAGATTGAATC